TCCTGTCCCTGTAAGTAGTTTTACACCTAGCAGTAATCGCGTTAGCTGTGATCGCTGCTGTAAACCAAACCACATCCGTCGCATCGAGTTTTGAACCGATTCTTAAAGCACCTAATCCAGGCACAGCGTGTGAACACGTGGCGTTGTCCACGTGTGCCCGTCACAAACAAACCCTGCTTGTTTTTCTGAGTGCTCCGAGTGGACGCGACAGGTTCAGCTCCTAATCTTGTTGTATGTTTCACTGCAGACTGGTGACTTCAGATGTAGCTTTTTACACTGGAAACCTTCAAGCTCTGAAAGGCCTTAACAACTTAGACCTAAACATGGCTGAAATTTGGGAGCAGAAGAGGTGATAATCCACCGGGAGCAATCACTTGGCTCTGACAACAGACCGACTTTCTTCTAAGCAGCGTGACCGACGTGAGGTGAATACGTAAGACCGGCGTCCAAGAAAGGGCACCATTGATAGTCGGGGAAGCTGGACTCAGAGCGAGCTGCAGGGAGTGATCTTCCCAGCGTCCTTCAGCAAGAAACAAGTGATCAGCTGTCTGTGCAATGTTTGTTTTGGGTTTGTTTTTGTTTTTTTTTCATTCTCTCTGGAAACAGACTCAGGTTTCTTTGGACCAAATCCAAAAGAACACATAGCTGTAACACAGCTGTAGTTGTCTAGAATGCTCTGTATATCTTTATATTAAAAAGATGCTTTGCATTTCTTCTAGTGCAATGGAATTCACATGGTGTCCCACCTTATTTAATGATGGTACGATACAAAAATCTTGCAGTTGGACCTCTGTAGAAAATGTTTTTCTCTATGAAACTATGCTGTTCTAAAATTTATTTTTTTACAGAACTTTATATAAATAAATGTCTTTTGATTGCTTGCATATAGGATTCAGATTTGTTAGGGAGCAGTCCTGTTTCAGGGAATTTCTGACAGCTGGGCTCTAAACTGCCATCTGAAGACAGGATTTTTCCAATTGTCAGTTCACCGAAGCTATTACCCACAGGATGAGAGAGCTGTGAAACGATCCTCGTTAGCAGTGACAGGGTTAACAGGGGGCTTCTGGTGGAATTGGAAGGAAGTAAAAAGGCTGGTGTGGGGCTGGTTTCCTGCTGTTACTGAACCCTGGGCGTAGGCAGTAGGGTGAGGACAGGGAGTGTTTCAGGACTCTGCCAGTTGCTCCGCAGTACTAAAGACACGAAGCGGTGCGTGTATAGAGACCGAGGAGGACACAGAAAACAGGGCAGGAAGAATTTTAAAGTTTTTAGGCTGCTTATAAAAGGTTGCACCATTAAGGAAGGTGCAACTGAAATTAATTTATTTAAGAGTTTTTAATACTACCTTTTAAGACTGGACGCTGCCAGTACTAAGTACAAGTGCCTGTGTATTGCACCTCACACCTCGTTACCGAACCATAGTCCGAGTGCCTAACCCTGTGATGATTATGTACGACGGAATGGTCTACAGCGTGTGCGTGTGGTTTCTTCAGACAGGCATGCCTATCTGTTAGCATAACAGATGTCGTTAATTGTCAGTCACAATAAAGCTATAAAATCACAGTTGTTTTTAAAGACCAACTTCTTTAATGATACATACCAGTGTTATACTAAGCTTATAAAATAAAGTTGTCTGCATGTAAATACATGAGAAACATTAAGAAATCGATAGTGATCAGGACAGGGATTTCAATTCCTGTACAAATTCAGAAATGACTGAAGAGAAGATAAATTAACATACATGGCTGTGACAATATGAACATGGGTGTAGTCAACATGATCCATTTATTGAAAAAAAAAAAAAAGAGGGCAGATCAAGGATTAAGATATTGACAGGAGATCCAGCCTTAAATGGGATGTGGGAAAAAAAGCAAACACCACACGTGGATACTGAGGCATTTTTCTCAAGTATTAGATTCTTTGGGCGAGTTTGGAACACGGACGATTCCCACTCTCACGATACAGAAATGGAGGTATTGACAGCCTTACCCCAGTATCTTGACATACAGTTGGGATAGGACATCCCACTTGTAGTTCGGGGGGGTTAAAGAGGGCTATAGGGTGGGATGTTTGTGAGCACATGAAATACAGGGTTTCTAACAGCCCGTTTTAACAGCAGTAGTGAAACTTTTGGTTTTCAACTGTGCCTGCCACTTACACTTCATAAAAAGCCACGTGAGTAGCTTAATGGTGTTGTCCCACATGTATTGCTTCACAGCTTTATTTCTGCAGCTACAAGCAATTCAAAACTACTGACTGTTGGAGGCAAGCCTCTTAACTTCTTATCGAAGAAGATCTGTCCATCTTACCGCAAGACAAACAGTATTGCACTTCAAGGTTATATTGACTGAGTCACAGAATCTCTGTAAGGACTGAAGCATTACTTAGCACATCCGTGGCGCTATGTGTCTGCTTAAGAAGATAAGCAAGAGAAATTAATTTTAAATTAATACTGCAGGGTACTGTGAAGATGACAGAGCAGAGGCCCTCTGTGTACTTATATTTCTAACGCTTAAAAGGTTCTTCCATTAGGAGGCTGGTTCAGCACAGCAGTCGACAGAACCGACTGTGCCCTTTCCCTGACTCAGTGGTCCAGGATCCGAAGATTGCCAGATACGATTTTGTTCTCTAGTAGAGCTCCAGCTGGGATGTCAATTCTGTCGCCGTGATTGGCAATGATGATAACTGTTCCCTGGATTTACGGAAAGGAAAACAAAGTCATTAGAAACTTTATAGTTTCGCTTGGAATGAGCGAGTAGTGTTGTCTGGAGGACAGGTTAGGTGTCAGCTGTCACAGCCAGCTCCTGGATGCATTTAGTTGTATTGTTTCTGCATAGGCTTCCCCCCCTCCGCTCCCCCTGCCAAAGGTTTTAAACAAGCACTGGTGGAAACACGGTAATTACCAGTATACTCGCTACTATCAGCTTACAAGCAGAGCTGATGCCTTCTTTGAACATACGTGCTTGCTGTAAGCACTCTTATCACGTCTCCTTGCTTTTGAGGTGGAAAAATGTTACCCGCACCGGTGTGTCATGGCACAGCTCACCATTACAGCTGCAAGGAAGGCAGATAAATACACAGAAAGAGCTGGGAACAGGTGCACATGTGTGCGTCTGCAGTCTGACAATAGCCCAGGCCAGTTCAAATGCATGGTTGTTGCAGGACCATGACAATGTTCTGCTAGGATTGACCAGGTCCCATGGAAGAATTTGAGAGAGAAATTAAGTTGCTCAGCTTCGACATTTACTAATAAATGGAGAACCCCAACCGGATGAGAAGGAAGGGGCCTGGGGCTGCAATGCCAGCCTGGGAGGTGAGGCATGTACTCCTTCAGCTTGTAGAGCTGAAGGACAAAGGTACAAGCGTTGTTTTGAACACAGAGCCATGAGGGCTGTGGAGTTTTCAAGGTTCACAGACAAAGCTCAGCTCTCCCTGGGACTCCACAGAGAAGCAACTGTAGCAGTGACACCGTGCACACACAGTAAGGGTCACTGTTCATTCTTGGCCAGTTACTTAACTCGCAGGAGTGCTTCCATGGGCTGTGTGTGCAGGCACCGATTAGGCAGGATCAGTTACCAAGGAGCAGAGATCAGTCATGTTTAAAGCAGGAGCATCCCAATTACACACTCACCTTTAGTGAAACGTTCTTCCCAAATGTAACATCACCTGAAACTGTGAGATGATCCAGCTCCAGCATATCTGGAATACTTTCAAACCTCCGCAGGTAATCTTGAACCTTTTAGACAGAGGAAAAAACAGAGACAGTTTTAAATCCATCTGTGGAGTAAGACACATGCGGGAGCTTCTTGAAAACTCCCTTTAGAGACTTTTCCAGCATTTACATCTTATATTAAGAGTTGCTACTGTGAAAGCAAGGTGGTACTGTCATTTCTTTCAGAGAGAGATAACTATGAGAAGCAGCAAGGGCAGCATCTAGCTAGCACACCCCAATTCACCTTCCGTTCCCTCAGGTGATGGGGTGAAGGAGCACCCAACAGCACCATGACGTTATGCACAGGTGTTAAGTAGTTTGCGTTCTAACAGCCTAACAGTTCTTTACAAAGAGCAAAGGGAATGCCCAGATAGCCAGCTGCAGATGAAGTAAACCTCACTTTTAGCTGACTTACTGCTACAGACTGTATTTTTATTCAGAGATAAAAACAAAGGATAATTCTAGGATTTTACCTTCGTGAAAGAACTTCCCAGTTTGACAAGAGGCACTGTTGGAAATTCACGTTTCTCGCTCATCGTTAGAGATCCAGCATTAAGGCTGTACAAATTAGACATCACGAGCAAGAGATCTGACGTGGTCTTAACAGGCAGAAAACGACTACGAGGTACGTTTATCCCCAGAGAGTTCTCAAAACTCTTAATAGCAGCGCCGACTGCAGTCTCCAACTGGATAACATTCAAGCCTCCATCCAGAGTCTGGAAGAGAAAAACTCGTGTAAACAACCAGCAGGTAACAGCACTGGGAGCTAGAGAGGAGCGTAAGGCAGAGCTCTGTGTTTACCGACAGACTGGCTCCCTTTTGAAAGCAGCAGTCTCTGTTCAGTTACCTAGAAACAAACAGTTCTTTTGGGTCCATTTCCTCTAAAAAGTCTTCCTAGATGATTACCTTTGGGTTAACAATGATCTCCATGTCAATAGCATTTTTCTCTTGCAGCCTTTTAATCGCAGACAGAGCAATCCACAGATTGTTGGTATTGAATATTTTGAATTTTGACACAGACTTGAATTCATCCACGTGTGCTTTGGGGACCTGAGCTATCTCCACCAGCCTCAGCTTGTTTTCATATTGTGTAAGTGTGCCACCCTGCAAGGGTCAAAGAAGAAGTTTTAAGTCCTGTTCATGAGACAATGGAGAAACTCTCCTCTCACCCCAGAGAGACTCACTATTTTGTTGGCATTTAAAGTTGAACCTTAGTGAAAACATGGTGCTCGTGTTCAGCTACCAGGTTACTAATTATAGAGTCTGTTTAAAGTACAGTCAGAACTGTCACACGATCATGTTTCAGCACTCCAAGACAGTTAATTCTTTAACCAAAGTTGTTGAGAACCTTTTGCAAGCGCTGCTGTTGTCAAAAATCACCTTCAGCTGTACTTCACCAGATTATAGAGCAAAATCTAAATTAAATCTGATGGTTCTGTGTTTGTGGCACTTACTGGAGAAACGAGTGGCACTTCAGTAACCTGGACTGTATTCTTACAGTGCGTTTCTGTGGTTTTTACAGGACTAAGTCAGAGCTTTCTTAATATCTAATGAATATTAGAAAAATATTATGAAAAAACATGTTTCTTCCCCATCCTTTCGAAGCAAAGTACAGTTACGGGACAAATTGCCGCATGCTACAAGTATTTGATACACGCCATGAACATCTGACAAGTTGCCAGACCTGGACTTTGTACAAAGTCCAGCAGTTAGGGCCGGAGCAGACTGGCAGGCACACCAAAGCCGAGTTGAGCAACACACACCTTGGCAGCTGGGTAAGTAGCTCAGGCACTTTTTCCGTCAGTGGAGATGGATACAGCTGCTGTATCCCACCCCTCAGTGCTCTACTTTTACCATCTCCAAACTTCTCCCTGGTGTAAGTGACAGTTTGGAGAAGGTGTAGAGGTTGTGTAAACTTGCTGATTTTGTGCATCTCAAATTAGCTTTACCATCTCCAAACTTCTCCCTGGTGTGACAGTTTGGAGAAGGTGTAGAGGTTGTGACCTGCACCCT